TGTTGTATATGTGTGTGTGTGTGTGTGTGTGTGTGTGTGTGTGTGTGTGTGTGTGTGTGTGAACAAATAATTTTGTGGGGCTGTATAGTGTGCTGCCTGATTAATAAAACTGTTATTTTGAAACCTCGAGTTAGGTTTTTGTTTCATTGATCTCCTGGCCTTCCTCCTTGATTTCCCGGCTTTCTCCCTCGGTTCTTTCTGCCTCATTTCCAGCCCCAATCTCCATGTTTTCTGCCTTTTGTTTCCCAGCTGTCTCCTCCTTGCCACCACTTATCTGCCTCCTGATCTCCTAGCTTTCTGCCTCTGTTTCCCAGCTATCTCCTCCTTGCCACCAGGCTTTTTTCCTTGCTTCTACCCCAGCACCAGGTGATTCCAAGTAACTACAGGACCTCAGTTAACCTCAAGTAACCCCAAGCCCCAGTGACCCTGAATAACCGCAGGGCACCTTGACCTCAAGTAACCCCAAGCATCAAGTTACCCCAAACACCCCCTAGGGTTCACACACAGTCACAGAAATGCGTGTTTGTGTATGTGAACTCATAGTGGTGTGTGTGTAGTTTGTGTGTGTGTATAATTTTGTATTACACCCTCCTGTCTAAGTGCAATATTGAGATCCCGAGTGTTGTTCTGGTGTATGTCAAGTCAAAACCTTCTGTACTAACCCTGACAGTTCTTGAAATATTTCCTCTCTAGTTTCCACTATAAGTCCCACTTACATGAAATGTTGCAGTCCACTAATAAGTTTCAAGTTATTTTGAATATAATCTTCTTTAAAGTGCAGTTTCCCTAGATTCTTCCTTAAATTCATTTTATTTATCTTTCCTCTCTGAGCAAATTCACTGCTTTTGAGCTACATGGGCAGCTCTAAAGCCTGAGTCCAAGCTTTGTTAAAATGAATGGTGAGATGCTAATGGGGAGTGAGGGAATTGGAGCAGGCCCTAAATTTCTTGTAGGCATTTTTTTTTGCTTTGGGGGGGAGGGGAAGAACTAAATCTCCTAAACTAAAATAACAAATTATATTTTAAGGATATAGGGGAAAGCTCTCTTTTTTTTCTACAGCTGTACATATATATCACATAATACCAACACCATACCCCAGCAAGCCATTTGAGGTGTTGCTGAAAAGAAACTTAACACATAGACCAAAAATAACATCTCATCCATACTCTGAATGTAAGCCTTTGTTTAAAAAAAAATGTAACAACAATAAAGAAGACATCTGGATTTTGTGACAGAATGAGAAAGAAACCTAGGAAAAACAAATAATGATCTAAGCATCTAGAAGTGAAAAGTAAACTTTGAAATGACCATTAAAAAAAAAAACTTAAGTATTAGGACATCAGTAA